GGAACAAGGGATTGGGATCAAGAACCTAAATTTGACAAGTGGTGACGTCACTATAAATTTGAATGAGAACATGTTTATTAAAAGAAAAAAGAAATCAGAGGCTTCTGTTGGAGCTGATATCAAAGATAGCTCTACTTTGGACGTGACAGAAGCCAAAAAGTCGGAAAACAATAAGATATCATCTCTACTGAAGAAGCCTATAGTTCCGGAAAAGGTTTGTGTATTCTTATGTGGTTCATCTTCTCTTTCATTTTGGTCTATTTAACTCTCAGCTGCATGGTGTTATTGTGTGCTTCACGTTTCTTATTGCTCGGAATGTTTTGCCTCGGTTTAGTAGGATTCAGTTGCCAATATGTTGACTATGATTACTTCCATTTACTTTTGGAATTCATTTTATCATCATTTGTAACTTATACTGTATTCATCTACCTCTCCATTCTTCGAGGTAGAGCATCTGAAACATTCATTACTTTGAACGATATAATTTATTTTAGTTTTCTTGTTTTTCTTTTTTTGAAACAAAGTTTGAGTATATGAAGATTTTCAAAAGTGGCTAGAACTAAGGGTTTTATCAGGACACATCAAATAACAATTATGAGAACTCAATTTTCATTTTTCTATAAATGAACATCTTCATTTAAAATACTCATAAGTTTTCTTTTTTGATATCAGTCCCCAAATCTCACATAATTTGGAAGAGTACCCTAAAACATATGATTTGTGGTCAAGTCCCTCAAATCTAACTAACCATTTGAAACTGTCCCTCTGGTTAATGTCTACCTTAACTCAAAATTATAAGGTTATAGATAGCGGATAGCGTCGCATAGCAATGAGAGCACTGCTAAGGTTATTTAGTGTTATTGTGGCAAAATAGCGGTAAAAAGCACAAATTCAAAAAGTGGTCTAATTTAAATATGTACAAATATTTAAAAAAAAGAAAAAGTAAAGAAAAAATTAGAAAATCTAAAAATGCATATTTGATTATTTATGGAGATACTAAGCATAAAATAGACATGTAACTTTCACATAATATCGAAGAGGACGGGAGGAGTCAAAGAGTCGTCGTCTTCGAGAAGATGGAGGTGATCAGTGAGAGGATTGCAATAAGAGGAGCTCACAATGAGAGGGGGTGAGAGGAGGTGCTGTGACGGTGAGAGGAGGTGCTGGAGGTTGTGGGGGGCGGCGAGAGACAACTAGGAGATGTCGAAAGTCGTGGGAGCATGTGGGATGCCGTGGGAGGCAGTGACATTTTTTGGGGGCTAGGGTTTTTTTAGAGTTGGATTGCGAGGAGGAGACTCAAAGAGAGAAACCAAAAACCTCGATTGGTAATGATTTAAAACATCGTGTCTTAGGTGTGTCGGTCGGGTTTAATTAAAAAAATAAACCTAAAACTACTTTTAAATAGCGGCCAAAAAGCTCGTTTTTCTGTCTAAATGCATCCAAAGCTACTCGCTTTCTAGATGATCTCTGACGAAGAGTGGGATTATACCAAATTTGTCTAGTGACTTCGTTCCCTATTTCTACTCGCCGAATCCTGAGGCAATGAAATTTACCCACAATCGCCCGCTATTCATTGCTATGACGCTCTATTGGCTGTGTTTGCGAGCGAAAAGTACATATTCCACAATATGTCACCGCTATTGGGTCATATCGTTGCGAAAGGGGCCGCCAACGCTATTAGCGGTGCTATTTGCCGCCCTCTCCCACTTTTACCACTTTTCCTTTCCCTTATCTCCTCCTGTCATTTCTTTTCGGCTGGACATATCTTTAAACCCATAAATTGAATACAAGTTAAAGATAACATGTTAATCAGAGGAGCCAATTTCAGACAATTTATTAGATTTGAGGGATTCAATTTTTTGGGGATTCTTTTAAAAGTACTTTCGATTTAAAACTTGAGATATCAACTTGAGAGACTCCCTAAAGAAACTGAAAACGTATTTAGGTATTTACTGATTCCTTTTACTGTCATTTTTGTTTGTTTAGGTTGCTTTAACAGTCTAGATTCTTAATCTGGGCCCATAATTTGGATGAGTAGCTGCATTCTACTCATCCAAATGGATCCATACATCTTATGTCCTATTTGTTTCCACAAAAAATAGGCCAGACCTGGGTATTTCTAATTCTACCCATGCACTAAGTGTTCCAAAGAGTGTATGCCTCTCAGACGTACCCCATTTGGGTTGTGTTCATGCAAAAGCAAGACTTTCCAAACCATTTTTACTTTTGCCTACTGCATTAAGGCATGTAGATTAAGATTTGAATGGTCTGAGCCAGTAGCGGGACCAACCTCTTCAAGAGAGGTTTAACACGCTAGTCATATGCAATAGCTTCATTGCAACTGCATGCTATTGCCTAGATGGTACAAATCAATTTGTGGTTGTTATCTTGAAATGAAATTTCAGACTGAGCTGCCACTATGAATCATTTTGCCTTTAACTGTGCAGAACCTGGTGCTCACCATCTTAAGAACACATTTTCACATACACCTGAAAGGCTGAAACAAGAAGGCCTCATCCTGACAAAGAACATGACATGTAGCAATTCAGGCTGTTTCCTAGAGATGCAAAAATATAAGATCCAGATCGGATAAGACACTTACAATATGTATATGCTTTGCTGATGATTCTAATCACGATGCAACCATATATATATATATATATATAGTTTGATAAGGAAAACATATCCATATCCATCAAAATCAATTGTGGATGCAAACCAAATGTGAATGAGATGGATATAGATTTCATGCGAGATGAGGAAAATTAATAAGATTTAAAACTTATAGGTCATATGCTACAAGAAATGTGTAAATACAACACAATCTCCTAAATCATACCAATAATATGTTTGATATTCAAAAAACTAGGTTCAGACTCTTACATCACCAAAATTGATTTTAGATCCACTAACATAAAACTAAAAATGTTTAGTCATTTTGATCCCCAAAATTATCCATATATTATCTGTATCTGATTATGTTACGCATATCAGTAACCATCCAAAATTAAAAAGCTAGATATGGAATATAATTTTACTTCTGCATCATATGAATGGTTTTTGATATATCCATTGATGTCTACATCTGTTTACACGTTTACTATTGCTTATGCCTGATTTAGTGTGGTCAATCCAATAGGTGATTCATACTAGTGGTGATCATGATCAATGTAGTGTAAAACCATATATGAAGTAGAAGTCATTCTTGTTGAGGCCCTCATATGTATCATCCAGATGCAAACTTATTATCTTTATGGATGATTGAATGTTAAAATCACGTGTTTTCTCACTTTTGATAGTTTAGGCCCGAGATCATTGTTAAAGGCTGTTATTGTAGTTTGACATAATAAGATATATAAAGAAAATGAAGGCAGCATAGCTTTCTTATAATTTGGGTCCTACCATCTTCTCATTGTATGAGAGCTGCCATCCCTGTCCCTAATCACAAAACTTAATCAAGCTCTCCTGATCACGGCTCATCACAAAACATTGCCCCTGAAAGAATATTGTCGATCTCATTGATCATGCATCTCTTCTATCATTGTTATTGCTGCAGCGGCTCAGCCAGAACTTGGCAAGTCCTTAATATGTCCCCACCATCCTCCAAATTTGGTTGTCAGGTGAACTCACAGACCAATTCCCTGCTTCTTCTCATTGCATCATCCAAATCTCGGTGTCAGCTGAACTTCAATCACCTTGCCCCTCCAACCAAATTTAAATCTATTCCCTGTTTCAAGGTTTCTATCCGATAAAAATCTCCTTGCTACCAGTGGAACCTCAATTTCCTCCCCTTTTATCCAAGCCCAATCAATTTTTGTTGTTTCATCCAAAGATAATCTCCTTGCAACCATCTTGGCGTGTCACCTCCTTGCTGACCTTGCTGATCTATTTGCCGGACTTACTTCTGCTAATATCCTAAATGATGTCGCCTCAATTCTTCCTCAATGCCGTGGTCATCATCATCTAAATGCCTTCTCCTTGCCTGATGCTCATGTAAGTCCATTTCGTCAGGGGAAAAAGAAGAAGAAGAAGAAAGCCCAGAAAGATTTTGGAAAAAAAAACTAAATCTTGAGATGTGGGTAGTAATCAACGTGGTAGAGCACCACAAGGTGAAGATGGTCTTGTTATATGGTGTCTTGGCTTTTTTTGATAGTTTTGTTTTCTTGTTATGTTGGAATAATGGAGGCTAAATATCATAAAGTGTTTAATTTGTCCTCTCAAAGTATTATCCATACGTTGAATGGGAGTATTATTTGCAATGATAACTGTCAAAATTGATGCTCCAATTCATGGGTACAGGAGAATGAAAAGGTTATTCTTCAATTTGGAACTATGTGGAATTTCATATAACTGATGTGTACTCATCTTGCTACTTGTAAAAGAATTTGTTAATATATGCAATGTTCTATCCAAGCAACATGAATCATGTGCATTATTTTTGTGGCGGATTTCTGGGCCAAGCCGGGAGAGCTATGAGCCACTGAATCTTTAGAGACTTGCAGGGAGTGTATTAATAGGTGAAAGTTATTGTGCCCTCTCTCTATTCATACCAATATGTGAAATAAAAGGATATCCTCAATAATCATATTCATGCCAAAAGGTTTTGGATTACCAAGTTGGGTATTTCATTTCCTGACGGTTAATGGAGTGCTGCAGATCATTACCACTGGCGTGTACTTTTCCATTTCAATAATGCAGCTTCCATTTGTGTAGTAGCATTTGATGCAAACATTTCTAAACTTATTGTATTAATGCATGAGCAAGTCCATCTCCAGCTTTGCCAAACCACAATGTCCTTTCAGTGAAAATTCTAGGCGACGAGTGTTTTATTTAATATCGTCATTTACTCAGAACTATTAGTAATTGTCATGTATTTTACTGTAGTGGAATGGTTTCCGTTGGAAGAAGTGCTAGATTTTGATGCTGTTTGTGCGTTCTTTATTCTTCCTTCCTCTTGCATTTCCCCTAATTTGCTTTAGTGAAGCATATATCTCCAGCAGTTATGCACCATATCAAGTCTCCATCAACCTGGGGTCCTTGTTTCTTGTTCTTTTGGTTTGCATCATGTGTCTCTCCATTCTTTTCCTCTTATGGCAGTTTTCTTCCTTCGTCATAATGTGGTTACATTTTTCCCTCTCATGGATGCTTATTGTTATTTCCTTCATTTTCTCAGTGTTTTTTATTTGGATATGGCCGTGTACTACAAGGTTTTTATCTTGATTGCTTGAAATATTCTCCAGTGCATAAACATAGTTTTGAGCTTCTTGGTCTTTCTTCTTTTTTGATATATACCTGAATTTGCTGGAATTATGTCCAGCAAGTTTCTCCTTGCAACTGCTCATTAGCATGCAGTTGGCAGGATGGTCTGTGTTTAATATGAAGAGATATAGCCTAATGTAAACAGAAACTATCGTGCCAGTGTACTTTCCTAAAATTTCACAGGAATCTTAAAAAATGTACTTGAAAATTTTCAATTAGCCTTCATAAACATCTCAAGAGCCATAGAATTCCTCGAGCAACATGTGCTTTCTGCTTGCCACACCACAAATGCTTTTCAATTAGCCTTCATTAATTGTTCACATAAAAAGTTGAAACGGTTATGAATATAAGATTGAAATGTATTTCTTTGCAGCACTATGTTAGAAAAGCAACCATCCTTAAATTTTACCATAGTTAGTACATAGTAGTGCCACTTGCAATTTTTTCATTGCTGCCTTTGTTCTGGCTTGCTAAAAGAACATGACAGATTTTTAAAAGCATTTGTGGTGTGGCTAGTAGCTCTTTCTTGTGACAGTTTTTGCGGTGTTAATATATGCTGATTGCAAAATAGTATGATTTTCACTTTTTGTTTAACTGTTAATTTAATTTATTCGCCTTATGCATGATTTGCGTCATAATTCTTGTTTTCCAGTTTAAACTAGAAACAATATTTCCTTTGATACAAATTGTATTATCAATATTGATTAACAAAAGTTATTTATTTCCTGGAAGGTTAGCTTCAATTTGCCTAAGTTAGATGTGAAGTTTATGCACCTGGGTCAAGATCTTTCTGTTCAGAACAATGTGATGGGCATCCATTTGAGATATTGTAAAAGTACATCAGATGGAGATTCTGGGGAAACGGCAACACGTTTTGATGTTCAAATGGATTTCAGCGAAATTCATGTACTTTTTTTGAATAATTATCTTTCATTTGAGGAGCATCTTCAAATTATTACTGTTTCTTTGGTGAATCTCATTATAACCTTCCCCTCCACTTTTTCAGCTTCTCAGAGAAGGCACTAATTCTATGTTGGAGATTCTCAAAGTTGCTGTTATAGGTTCAATTGATGTTCCAATTCAAGTGAGCTCTTCATCTAGTTTATTGTGGCTTCTTTGGTATTTCTACTCAGATGCTTTCCCATTTTATAACATCTTTAAGTCAATGATGCTGTTTTTTGAAGGCTAATTTATGTTACTGGTTGTTTTTTTACATTCTCTTTTATACCTAGTATTTTACATGATTTTACATGCACACTGTGGTTGCATGTGCAATCATGACTCAAGTCCTTTTGCTGTTAATTTATTTCAACCTATTGTACTTGCACTGACTTCTGAATTTAACTTTCTTTCTTTAAACTATTATAATGGAACATTTAGGAGCAGACTTCAAATATTAAGAGTGGGAGGGAAGTACCTGTGGCAAAGGACAGACCTCTATATGGCTTCTCTGTGATACATGGTAACCACCCACAACCAGGCTGATCTAGATAAAGGCATGATTTTTCTCGGGAGGACCCCAATATCAACACATATCTAATCCAGCAAACTAGGCCTCCTTTTCAATCTTTATGATCTCCTGGGCTATGAAGTATAGGGCCATCAGAGAGGGTTTCCTTTGTCTCAGCTGACTTTGTGTTGTACATCAGTAAATATCTGATAATATTCAGCTAGCAAATTCTATACTCACTGTTGCATGTATCTGGCCTGCCTATACCAGCAGCAAACAAACATCAAGTTATGCTTATTGTGCCTAATCCAAAAGTACTTGGCTCTTTACAATACCCGATATTGTAGCATGAACACCTTTGCTACTCTCCCCCTGGGAGGAGGTCTAAATCCCTTAGCTTTCTGTCCCAAGATTCCTCTTTACAATACTCACTTGTGTGAATTCTATTGCTGTGTATTCCGTGTGTGCTCGAATAAGATAGTTTAGGATTCTAGGATTCTATTGAGTTTCATTTATTGACTCCGCGGTGCAGGTTATCGAGTTTATGGTGCTGGCCCCATCCAAAAAGTCAAAGATGGCATCGACATTTACTCATTATGCTCTCTCCTAATAGCGGTGTATTCCACCTTTCCCTTGGTATTCAGGTTGTCGAAATCCGGAGAGGATAGCTGACTGTTATACCTAGGGAGCTTTATTGCCTCAACCCATTCTGAATTTGATAAGGGGCTCGTGCTTGATAAATATCCTAATTCCCGTTAAGTGTGAATATGTAGTCTACTAATTATTTTCTCTTCATTCTGTCATGAATTCCAGTGTGTCCTGCCTGTGGTCAAGAAGCAGATTTCCATCAATTACTTAGGGCTTAAGCTTTATTGATCACCATAGGTCCATGAGTACATTGTTCGAAGTATCTCCGATGGTGTTTCCTTTATATCCAAAAAGTGCTCTCTCTCTCTCTCTCTCTCTCTCTCTCTCTCTCTCCCTCTCCCTCCCTCCCTCCCTCCCTCCCTCCCTCTCTCTCTCTCTCTCTGGTAGTATATCATCAGTCAACAGCTTTTAAGGACAAAAGTTTTAGTCACAAAGGATAGTGGGATCAGTTTGTGGAAGAATGGTTTGTTCATCTCCTTGGTAAAAACCCCTCACAAGTGACAAGCTGCAGAAATGTTATCACTGATTTGCTTAGAGAAGATAAAAGAGAAATGAAAAGGAATTTTCTTTCACATGGTATCTTTAAATATTATTTATGTATGATAGTGGACACATCTGAGAGCATGAACATATGGTGTAATCAGTATCTTATGCAAAGCAAACTGAGAACAAATATGTAGTTACTCTTTTGATTATACCCACACTCTCCCCATTTCTGGTACATTTGAAGGATATACTAACGATGAAAGTTCCTTTAAGTCACTTCTGCTCTTGGTACCTGGAAAAGTGCAAACTTATGAATCCATAAACTGCGAAGCTTATTTTAAAGTGAATAAGTTGTGGTTAAAATCACAATGCCTCAAAAGTAGGCACAAACCGAGTGATACATATCAAAGCTAAAGAAAAAACTTATCAGCCACTGTAGGGAAGGAAGGGGATGGGAGGCTAGGATGCCCACACAAGTGTTCCACAAAGAGGGCAATAACAACAAGAACAATCACAACCAGAATAGACATAGATTACAAGTGGTTTGCTAAACACAAGCATACATCCACGAGATAAAAAACAATGCCAACTTCATTCTTGTTGTGCGCAGCGAAACCGAAGGCACACAAATACAAACGAGATTGGAATAATTATCAACAACCAAACAAGTATTACAAAAACAAGACACCATATTTTTACGTGGTTCGGCAAATATGCCTACGTCCACGGGAGCGGCACAATAATTTCTTATTAATAACAAAAAGTTACAAATAAGAGAGAGGATCTCAAACTTGAGATCTCTCAAACAAATAGCAATTGATTTTAATCTAAAATCAATGCTCAAACACTCTCTCTCTATTACAATAACTTCCCCAATTAATATTCACCAACCCCTTCTCAACAGTAAATGAGAACAGGGACAAAAGGGAATAAAAATCTGAATTTTCCCAACTGCAGAGAGAACAGAAAAATTTCCGCCGCCGATCTCTTCTTCTTTCTCTGCTCTCGCGCTCAAACTCACTCCATGAACAGGGTTTCCCTTTTATAGGAAAACCCTAAGGCGAGCTCTCACTCCAATCGGTGGGATCCAGCTGTCTTCCACCACGTCAGGCGAGTTCACGATCTACAGGCGAGATCGCTACAGGCGAGTTTGACACCACGCAGCAGGCGAGTTCCGCGATGACACTGCAGGCTCGCCTCTCTCGTCCTCGCCTTCAGGCGAGTCCGTTCGTCCACCTCGTAGGCGACTTCATCTCGCCTTCTCAACTTCGCCATCGACCTCTACAGGCGATCTTCGATCTTAGGTACGATCTTCTACAATTCTTTCATTGAATGGAAGATTACAAGTACAAGATAGCTTTCACCTCCAATAGGAAAACGCACAAAGCTAAAAGAATTTCAAAAAAGGGTAAACTTTGGGGAAGATGGGTTAAATATAAACCCTCAAGAGAATGCCCTCTTCTTTAACCTCCAACAAGCTCTGAAAAACCCTAGAAATGGCTCTTCTCTGAGCTTCTCTCTTTTTCTTCTCTATATTTTATTTTCTCTTGTCGTCTCTCTTTCCCACTTAATAATAGTAAAAGGCCCTTCATAGATAAGAACCATTAGATCAAAACCAATCCAATCATTCACATTAAACATGAGCTAGTGACAAACGCTAAAGGGCCATGGGTGGGCTTTGACTTCATTCACTTAACCTTTTATTAATAAACACCTAATAATCTCCTATACCATGGATCCAATTAGTTGAAGAGGCATTATTGAGCACATGCTTGGCAATTCTAGATTATAACCTAGTTAATGTTTCAAGTGGATTAATGTTTCTAGATTATAACCTAGTTGAAGAGGCTATACTACATCTATATATTATAATCCAAATGGATTAATGTTTCAAGTGTTTGGTAAAAAGAGTCGTTTATAATCCGCAGTTTATTATGTTAGAATGACAAGAAGACCCTTAAAAGTTAGAGGAGAGATCCTTAGTGGGTGGCACAGTGGTTGAGTATTGAAGCCTTAGACTAAGAGGTCCAAGGATCGACCGATGTCTATGTCACATTTGTCTTTCATATTCATCCAATGGGTATTGATCCGTTGGTGCTACTTACATAGGAGTTGAGCTGAATAGGAGGGACCCTACAGGTTTGAGGTTTTAATTGGCTTGTTTAATTAGGATTGATATTGGGGTGGGGTTCGGACCCCCATAGACGATATTAGGGTGGTGTTGGAACCCCCATTGGTTACCTTGAATATTTAGTGGTGGGCCTCTGGTAGTGGGATGTGCTCCTTATGGTAGGAGAGCTTAGACTCCAAATCTTATTCCTATGCGGTTGGGAGTGCTCGAACCCTGGACCTCGTTCCTAATACCTAAGGGACCTAGCCAAAGTTCCTCATCACAAAAAAAGTAGGAGAAAGAGAGAGGAGAAGAATGAGAATAAAAAAGCGATTGTCATTTTTGTCTTTGACTTGGTCAAACATGTGGATTATAATCCACCAAAAAAATAACTTAGGATTCTATATTAATTTTCAGTGGATATAATCCAAACTAATACAATATATGGTTGCCAAACATGGAAAAGTGGTTTATAATCAACTTTTTGGATTATAATCCACTTTGACCAAGTTACTAAACATGCTATAGGTCAGTAGCTTATGTCTGGTGCTTGCATGGCCACATGCATATGGCAACACTCTTAATAATCTTTAAGATTCTGATTTTATGCTCCTCTTATTTATATCTTTTTGAACTATTTTTCTGCTAATTATGCTACATTTTCCCTCAATAGTTCTGGAAAGTGTTAGCATCTCGTACTCCATGCCAAATTTTTGGGTAATGAATCTATTTCATTAACTAATATCTTTACCTTCAAACTAGTTACCCGGTTACTTCTATAATGAAGTTGTACTCGTACCGGACACTTACCTAACACTTTCCCGTCCCCAAACTTCATGGACACTTCTTGAATATATGCGCATTTATTACAACATGTACTCAATTATACGATATATGTGTTAATTTAAAACACTTGTCAAAGACTTTCTGAACATATAGCTTACACTTCACATCCGTTTTTTGAAACTAGTTAGGTATGGGTCGGGTTCGTTTCAGTCCATACCCAAGTTCTAAATATAGTTAATGAGCTGTTTTGGTCTCTAGTTAAAAAAATGAGTAATTTACAATTTATGATAATCAATATGATAAAAGAAACTTAAAAATATGATCGGAATTTTAATTCTAATGACACACGAAGCGGAAAAAAGTTATCTCATGTACATTATTAATTCAATATATATATGTAGCTGTGTCCCCGTACCCTACATTTTACAGTTTTGGGGCGTCCTGTACCCGTACCTGTTTCCATGCAACTTAGCCTTCAAATAATATCATCCACGAATTTTGGTAACTCACTCCAAATGATAGCTGGCTAAGTTCATGTATTTGAAGAACAAATGATGTCTCATCAGATCTGAATTCTTTTTAAAAATATGTTCAATATCCTGTG